AGAGAGAGAGAGAGAGAGAGAGAGAGAGAGAGGCAGGCAGGCAGGCAGACGGACGGAGGGAGACAGATACTGAAATAGAGAAAAAGGGGGGGAGAGAGAGAGAAGGGTGAGTTGTCCTGCACACTGTTTTCTCCCCCCTGCCATTAACGTGCAATGTCATTGATGGGAGCATTGGGAGGTATCACTTGCCGAAAAACGAGTCCAACGTTCCATCGAAACAGTCTCCGTTACCTCAGACGAGGGATATTTTCCAGGTCATATCTACCTACACTATGAGAGGAGTTATGTGTTATCCTTGACTTCCGGATTTTTGGCTTTGGATGGGCCTATTCGGAACTCAAGTGCTTTAGATGACTCTACATCTCTAGATCACAATCTTAGGAAGTTCTTAGATGTGGCTTGAGGCACAAGAGACTCAAGGTCAAATGAGATTGAGAATAAGACCTAGTAAGAGGGAGAGTGAGAACCCTTGAAGAGTGTTGGCCATGTTTTTTCGTATGTATTTTCTGAGATTATCACGAGTTTTCACCTTCCCTCATTCATTTTGTCTTTGCCCTCAGTTTGTCGGTCCTAATTCGTTCTCTTTGGCATTGCTTGATGTTATGTTTTTACTGATTATGTCACAGTTCTCACAATTCCCAAAAAACTGAAAAAATTGATACGTGCATGGTATATTTAGTTTTAATTTTAATTATTTACATGATCATTGTTGTTTTCGAATCACTATCAAAGATTCCTAAGGTCGGGGACCGGCGTAGATCGTAATTGAAGGGTCTCACTTGAGGTCGGACACACACTATAGGAAGGGATTTGCATCAATTTATTTATTGCAAAAATTATTAAAATCCTGTGTGTCAGCTTGTCGGTTTTCTGGTCCCCAAAAGTGGTTTGACCAGGGTTGCCAGGCCGAATGTACGGACACCCCTAAGTTGACCCCCGAATGTTCGGGCGTTCGGGTCCCCGTACGGGGCCCGAACCTGAAGGGGTTCAGACACCGCAAAAAAATATTTTGGCACCTAAATATTATTATTTTTTTCTAAAACTTTTTTATTAGTTATTTTTGATGTAAGGTATCCCCCTCATAATTTTGAAGCCATTCTGTTTAGCCAAAAAAAAATGAAAAATCGGTAAAGATGGTGGTTTCAAAACTTGATTGCCCACTCACCAATTTGTTTTTTTTTTCTCTTTTCACTTTTTGTTCTTTTCTTTATTTGAAAATATTTCGGGCATGAAAAAAAATATAATTTTTTCAAACTTTATTTGTATATTCTCTATTATGTAAGATACACATGTATAAATTTTCATGGCATTTGTCACAGCCAAAACAAAATGAAAAATCACCAAAGATGACGGTGTCCAAAACGTGCTCGCCCACTCAATAATTTCATTCTAATTTTCATTATTATTATTTATTTTTAGTATTTSATTTTTATTTTAAATTTGGTAAATAATTTGGATCTAACATTGAGGCAAATGTTGTTTAGTTTATTCTTCTGTATAACATATATTGTTTTTGTTTTTTTTTTTTGTTTTGTTTTGTTTTTTTTTCCACATTCGGCCGAACGGCCGAGCGCGTCGAGAAGGGGTGTCGAATGTTCGGGCGTTCGGCCCATCCCGAATGCAGGCAACCCTGGGTCTGACTATAAAAAAGTGAGACAGCGAGGGTCAAGCTTGCCCAGGAAGGCTATGTACCACCCATGGTTGCGACCGCGGGCCATTTTACCGCCCGCGGTCGGGATCCCGCCTGCCGCGACCGACCACCTGAGGCCGAGTGCAGGCATGAAACCCCAAAAATGTTTTCGGGACCTAAAAATAGGCACAAAACAAAATAAAAAATATGGCCCTGTAGATAAAAAAGAGCTCTACACGCCTATGATTTTTAATAAATTATTGTACATCTAGTGGAAGGGGGGAAAAAAAACGAAAATGGAAAGAAAAAAAAAAAACGGTAATGAAAATTTTTCTTCTTCATATTTTTGGTTTGTTGGGTCGGTGGCAAAACACAGGGCCCCCCCCACACACACGCACACACACACAATCAATCAATCAATCAATCAATCAATCAACCAATCAATCAATCAATTAACAAAACAATTGAAATCAATCAATCAATCAATTTGATTGATTGATTGATTGATTGATTGATTGATTGATTGATTGATTGATCGATTGATTGATTGATTGTGTGTTTGTGTGTGTGTGTGTGTGTGTGTGTGTGTGTGTGTGTGCGCGTGTCTGTGTGCGCGTGTTTGTGTGCGCGCGTTTGTGTGTTTGTATGAGTGCG